CACATTTTTTTGCTACTTGCTGTCTTGAAGCACGAGCACTAGGATGGGAACCATGTCGAAAATTCTTCTCCTTAAAGCTTTTGAAACATAGGGCCGGATTGCGTCTGTTGAAGTGTCAGTCAAGGTTGAGTTTGTATCTAAAAAAAATTCTTGTAGTTTTAGACCTGTTTTTACATCACCTGATAGGAGTTACTGAAGATCCCTATCTTCTTTTTGTTGTTCAGGAGTTACTGGAGATCCCTATCTTCTTTTTGTTGTTCTTCAATTTCCTCAGTAGACACAGAAATTGGCATGTTGATAACATCTAGACGGGAAAGAGCATCAGCTGTAACATTCTGCTCTCCTCGAACGTACTGAATGTTGCTACTGAACTGAGATGAAATCTAATTGACGTATATGGCGGGGCGATGCTTTTTCTGGCTTCTGATTGAACGCATGCGTGAGAGGGCGGTAGTCAGTTTGAATGGAAAAAGTTCTACTTTACAGCATGTAACGGAAATGCCTGATAGACTAGTAGACAGCGAGAATTTCTCTGTTATGCGTGGAGTAATTCTTTTCAGCTGTGGAAAGTTTCCCAGAGAAGAAACCAAGAGGATACTAAATATTATCAATTATTTGTACCAAAGTGGAGGAAATAGCAAAATTAGAAATATCAAAGGTAAGTATTTAAGAGGCGTTCTCTTTAGGATGTGCCAATAACGCTGCATTACTAATGCCATTGATACAGTTGTGAAAGGCTTCGTCTGATTCAGGTGTCATTTCTCTTGCTGTCACGTAAATATTCGTTCAAAAGTGTTTGATTCTGTGCAGCATTCTTGATGAATCTTCTGTCAAAATTGATCATACCAAGAAATTTTCGTAGTTCAACAAATGTTTGAGGTTTTTTGTAAGATTTGATTGCTTCAACCTTGGACAGGTGAGGCTTGGTCCCTTGTAAAGAAATTTCATAACCCAGGTACTGTACTTGTGACTTGCCAAAGGTACATTTCGGGGGATTAATCTTGAGGCCACACGCCTGAAATCTCTCAAAAATAAGAGAAAGATGGTGTAGGTGCTGCTCTTCATTTTCTGAGGCAATAAGGACATCATCAATTTAACTATAGCAAAAATCAAAGTCTCTGAGTATGTGATCAATGTACCTTTGGAATATTTGTGCTGCATTTCTTAGAACAAAAGCCATCACAGGAAATTCAAACAAACCGAAAGGAGGGATAACGGCTATTTTCTGGATATCTTCGGCCGATACTGGTATTTGGTGGTAGGCTCGGTGGTGGAAAATATTTGCTTGTCATATGGTTTATAAGAAAAATCTTTAATGTGGGCAATTGAGTAGCTATCTGGAATAATTTTTGCATTAAGGCGACGATAATCTCTACAAACACACCATTTTCCCGTCTTTTTGGGGACCAGATGTAAAGGGCTAGCCCAAGGACTGTCCCAAGGTCGACAGATACCTTGAGACATCATATGCAAACTCGGCCTTGGCGATTTTGAATTTTTCTGGTGGTAGCTTTCTGGGTCGATCTGCCACTAGTGTCCATTTGTGATTATGTGGTGAAAGACTGATCCTTCTTTGACTTTAGTGATTATTGATGAATTATTAATTTCAGGAAATGTTTCAAGTAAAAGATGGAATTTTGACATTCTGGACACTGTGACGACGGTAGGTTCCGAGCAAGGAAGAAAACATTCAGGAACATAAAGATTTGTTATGGAGTCAGAAATTCTTTTGTTTTTGAGATCCACAACAAGGCCAAGACAGGCTAGGAGGTCTGCTCCAATAATTGGACGTGGAACATTGGCTATAGTGTCTATGTCAATTCGTCGTAAAGCCAATTCGTCGTGAAGTGAAATTGTCGTATACGTCAATTTGTCGTAGACGTCAATTCGTCGTAGAGTCAATAATTGTCGTATACGTTAATTCGTCGTAGCGTTAATTCGTCGTATTGCTAATTCGTTGTATAGGTAATTTGTCGTAAACGTTGATTCGTCGTATTTCCGGTATAATGTAAAAATGTATAAATTTACACTTTCTCTGTCTAATCAGACAAAACCAAAATACGAAACTTACTGATGATAACCTGGTTAGTTTGGGTAAGTTTGCAATTTTAATCAGACATCACATTGCAAACTAACCCAAACTAACTAGGTTATTATAGGTAAGTTTGATAATTTCTGATGAGAATTACACACTATTAACTTGTTGGCTACCACATGAGTTACCAGTGATGATAATAATAATAATAATAATAATAATAATAATAATAATAATAATAATAATAATAATAATAATAATAATAATAATAATAATAATAATAATATGTCTTTATTTAACACCTGGCTAATCTACAATTTAGGTACAGTAAAAATTATAAAAAAAAAATAATATAAAACAATACAAATGCTTATCTTTAAATTACAATCACAATTAGGTAGGTTACGTAGGTACATAGACCACAGTTAACTTACACTAAATACCTTTGTCATTGCACATGTAAATGAAAATCAATACACGGTAAACAACCACTAACTGATAATCGTTATAATAAGTATTTTTATCAATATTACGGTAGGTGGACAAAATTTATACATATACAATAACAATAACGAATAATAACTTATTCATATATACAATAATAATGTGACTCTTAGACTCCACATTTGGCTCACAAAAAATATCTATAACGGAGACAAATCCCCAAGGACCTTTTAAACCGAATAAAACTATTGTCCCATCTTATATCATTATCAAGACTGTTTTAGACAATGATACCCTTGTGAAATAAGGACTTCTCCGTTCCAGTTTTATTTTTTTACAAACTCTGAAATTATTACGAGATCGAGTATTATAGAAATGCTGATCGAAATTATTCGATAGCTTCACGGTCAGGTAAGATGGAGTTATTCCTATCTTAATCTTATGGACCAATATAAGGGTTTGATATTCCAAATAGTATTCCACAAAAAGCCAACCAAGCGATGCATCAGTTGCTCTGATGCCGACAGGGATGTTTCACCCAATTTACCCCAATACGAACTGGTCGACGTTACTTACGACAAATTGGCGTATACGACGAATTGAATTAACGACAAATTGACGTATACGACGAATCGACTTTACGGCGAATTGACGCATACGACGAACTGACTTTACGACGAATTGACTTTAGGAAAAATTGACGTATACAACGAATTGACGTACGACGAATTGATGTACGGCGAATAGACGTACGACGAATTGACGTACGACAGATTGATTTACGACGAATTGACGGTGAACCTTAGCTATAATGAATTTCCAAGTGACTGGACGTCTTAAACCCAAGTTGAGAGAGAATTTTATGATCAAAAGTCTGGATAATGGAGCCATTCGCTGCATGCAAAGGAAAATCAAAATTGACAGAATTGGTCTTATCAAAGCTTTTGGGAAGAACACTCTGCTCCAGTGTCTACTAAAAAGTTTGTTCCTGTAATTTTGTCCTTCATAAAGCGGCTGTACTATGTTGGCTGCCACCTCCTTGACCAACGGTGCTTCCAGATTTTTGGTAAAGTGTTGTAACTGCAAGGTGCTGTACACTTATTTGCCTAGCTTCCGAACTGGTTGTGATAGAAAATAGAAACAAAGTTCTTTGTTGATTGCTTCCCTACTTGTGCTTCTGCCATGGACCTGCTTCTGTTGCGAAGGAGATTGTCGAGCTTTCTAGAGATATCAGAAATTTGATTTGAAATCTCACAGATCGGATCTTCGCATCCACACAGATTTTGTTTCATTGACTTGTTTGGGACTTCTGAGATAAAAACAGGTAAACTTGACCTTGTCAGCAATTTCGGCCATTTTGGTCAGATCCAGATCTGATGAGGGTGGGAGGACTACTTGAATATTGTTAAGAAGTCCCTGGAACCATAAAGTTTGTAACATGTTATCACAAAATTTTTTGCTAGAACTCGCATTTTTCTCAGTAACAGATGGTTTTTTGTCGTTGAGTTCGATCTCAGCAATAAGTTTCTCAATTTGCCGTTCCTGGAAGTCACTGCATCGTGCATTAAGATTTCATTTTTGTCTGAGTTTTGAGGGTTTGCCACTAAGTCGGATACATGTTGAAGGGTGTCGATGTCGAGTACAGAACTAATATGGAAGAAATACAGATGGTCTGACTTGAGACGATGAGTTGTGAATTGGGCATCAACTTGTGTAAACCAGAGGCTTGGATTCACTTTCCAGAATGGGGGCAGTTTAATGTTTCTAACCTCGTTAACTTCATCAGCTGAGAGTGGCAGCGAGTTTGTATTTTCCCCTTCGGAGTCAGACATCTTGCTTGCGTTTTTCGGAAAAAATGCTACGCCTTGAAAAAGTGTTTATTGCTACTTGTACTGTGAGGAGAGTTGCCAACTAACTGATGAACCCCACAGTCTCCCATCGTACTGATAATAGAAAATGTTTTTAGGTTTAACACGTTAAATTAATCAAGTGCCAAGCTGATTTTCAAAAAAAAAATCCTCTCAGGCCATTTTAATTTTCAATTAGCAAATAGCATTTGATGAATAGGTATCTACCTACTAGTATTTCTAATAGAGTGATATGACATGATTCTCCATAGGGGTGTATTCGTGATTTTTGTGCGGCGCTGCAGACGGTGCGGCAAACTTTGAACTGCTTCTGAATATGGCGATAGTATTTAAAATTTATTTTTTTCAAATACATGTTATTCCTATTTGAAGAATCGTTATTGGTCACCACACCGTCTTGAAATACCTATTTCTGAAAATGTATTCCAAAGTACGCTGACGGGTCAAAAATCTTGGACTCGTATATTTCATAAAGAAACTATTCGGACTTGGGAAAAATCTCAAGTTCGCTCTACTTAAAAAACCATTTTTAAAAATTTTTCAAAACGAATTAGAATGCCGTCAGGACCCAACATTACCTACAGATTTTGGATAATTTTCCTTGTATTGAGGTAAAATAAGTAGGTATCTAAATAATTGTTGCCCTAAATGCCCTATTATTTTGTTATTATAAATTAGAATTGAATAAGTCGAATAAGGTAGTTGCAAAACGGTGAATCTATAATTATTATATTTTTAGTAACCGTCCATTTTACAATGGGGAGAAAATATCCCAAAATGATTATTGATGGGTTTGAATTCAAGTTGTATCGTCACACCAAGACTTCTAGCCTTTGGGTTTGTACTCGAGAAAGATACAAATGCAAAGTAAGGTTAGTTACCACAGGAAAACAGGTTCATATGAAATCCATCTCTCATAATCATGAGAGAAATTTTGAAGGTAGTTACGATGGTTTGGCATCACAAAGGGTTACTATGTTTTATCGTGACGATAAGTTGCATCTTGTTAATAAAATATGTCTGGAAAATCAATAAATAGAGAAAATTTAAAAACTTCTTTATTTTTTCACCCTAGAGCTATCCGGTTTCCTTCCTAATAATATTATTGTACGACTAAATTTAATTTTAAATAACATATTTTTAGCAACTATTTATTTCACATTTGGGAGAAAACACCCGATAATGATTATAGATGGTTTTGAGTTCAAATTAGATCGTCGCACCCAAAATTCTAGCCTTTGGGTTTGTACTCAACATAGTAGATGTAGATGCAAAGTCAGGCTGATATCTACAGGGAAGGAAATTCACATGAAATTTATATCACATAACCATGAGAGAAACTTCAAGGGCAGCTATGGAAATTTGACATCACAGAAAATTACTGTAATCTATCGAGAGAGATTACAATTGGTTAATTGAATAGTAAGGCAAGATTTTACTGGATTTTTGGACGGATGTAGTTCATTCATGGAGAATCTATAGTCCTTTTTTGGAACTATGTTTTATCTACATTTCTTTTTATCCATTGCTTGGTATGCTGTTATTTCACTAACCTTGACAATTTTGATTGAAATAATGACAAAATTCACTCATCACTTTTTTGACTTTTTTCAACATAAGCTGGAAACAAAAAAAAAATTTCACCCAAGATTGTAATTTAGGAAAAGCAGTGGTTCCGATGATAAAAAAATATTCATTATTCTGATATGGCGGAGACTGTGAAAAGTCCAAATTAGGAAGGATGCGTGTATTGAAAATGGGAATATTTTGATAGCTCACTTGAAGCTCAGAGTGCGATTAAAATAACTTACCTTTTGGGCTTAAGAGAAAGGAGGAGGATATTTTTTCTACCAATATTACAGAATTCATCCATTCCACCATTAGTGGAAGAATACTCATTCCATGACTTAGTATAGAATAAATACGTTTTGCGCCATCTAAAAGTTACAGTTCAAAACTTTATACCAGAGACTTGAAGATAAAAACTTTGTTGTCGAGCGAAATGAATGCATAAATTGTTTCCTCACTCGTGGAACCGTTCTCAAACTTCTCTAATCGTGTAGGATTTTGCTTATCCATACTTGTTACCTATAGTTTTAGGTATGTACAAGCATATGTTTGAAAGTCATTTTTTTGTTGTATCCTTTCAAACCTCACTTTACAACATAATTTATCCCCATTTTTAAAAAAATATATATTTTTGACTAGAAAGTCGGATTTATATAATATCATTAGTGAATAGAATCAGTGAAATAAATTGGTAATATGAACACTTTTTTCAATTTCAAATATACCGCATTTCTTCTAATCCAATACCTACTTATTAAATTTATTAATACATAATATATTTTTAGCAACTATCTATATAAAAATGGGTAGAAAACACCCCATAGTGATTATAGATGGGTTCGAATATAAATTGGAACGTCGCACTTCAAACACCAGCTTCTGGGTTTGTACTCAATATAATAAATGTACATGCAAGGCTAGATTAAAAACTACTGGAAAACAAGTTCATATGAAATCTATACCTCATAACCATGATAAAAATGCCAGATGCGATTACAAAAATTTGAAATCACAAACTGTCAAAGTAATATATTATACCTAATAATTTTACCGTAAAAGTGCATAACTGAATGGTAGTAATATAAACAATTAATGTCTGACTTTAGAGTTGTACTGTTTTCTATCCATTCAAATAAGTAACATTAACTTTTATTTCAAATATCATGTTTTTAGCAACTCTTTATTTTTCTTCGGGAAGAAAATACCCCATGATGATTATAGACGGTTTCGAATTCAAATTAGAGAATCACGCCAAAAGTTGTAATCGGTGGGTGTGCACTCAACGTAATAACACCAGATGCAAAGTAAAGTTATTAACCACTGGAAAGCAAGTTCAGATGATAAATGAATCCCACAACCACGAGAGAACTTTCAAGGGCAGTTACGAGAGTTTAATTTCAGAAAAGGTGCCTATGGTATATTGCAAACGATTGCAAATGGGAAATTATATTTGAAATTAAACTGATTTATCTTTAAGAGTATTTAGGTAGCTACTATAATTTGATATCATAAAGTGTTTCTGGTATATCGCGATATGTTGCAGTTAGGACAAATGTAGGCATGTAATGAGTAAATTCATTTTAAAATGGCCAAAGGTCTTTCAATCCATATCCTAGCATGTTCGATATTTGTGTTTGTTATATTATGAAATTGTTCTGACAGTTGTAACAGCCAATTAAATTTGGTTATTTTGTGATGTGACACAAATCATCTAATCATGTCGATCACGTCAACATTAAGAATCCCCCACACCGGTGCGATATGGCGGTAGCGGTAGCAATATGTCCGTTCACCGCTGTGGACATCGTTAGGAAACGAAAATTGCACCGCAGGTTCATGTATTAGGTATATCCTAATTGTGATTTCATTGTAAATTTATGATGCATTTGTGTATGCAAATGGCATAGTGAAAATTTTTAAAGAATTTTGAGAGTTTGGCAAGTGAAGGCGAAAAACATTATTGAAAATACTTTCCGATGTGATTCCCGATAAAGTTATCAGTAGTAATAACTTAAGGACATTATTGATAATTGTTCGAAATATCTATATCAGATTTCGAAAGCTTTATATAAGCAACAAGCGAGAAAATGGTTTTAGAATATTTGAGAATTTATCAATGTTCGAGGGTTATTCGGATAGAATTTACAGCAACGTGATAGAGTGAAACCAGCCCATGGCCCAACAACTGGATAAATGTAAGAAAATCTAAATCCTATCACAACAATGGTCGAATTTATAGTAAAAGAAACTGCCGCGACAACTGGTAATAATCCACTGAAATGTTTCTATTTAAAGTAACTGTACGTTTGTTGAGAAATTATTGCAAATAATAGCGAAAGATCCATCAAAATTAGAATTAATAGTTATTTTTGTATCTAGTGCGCAAAATGCCATTTTGGTGAACGAGAAGGAAAGTTTTTGACGACGCGGAGCGGACTCAAAGGATCGTTTGAGTTTACCAAAGACATTTCGCGCACGAGTTGCAAACAATATATTTTCTATAACTCCATTCAAATATCGACCATTCGAGGGTAAAATTGCATTTACAATCCAAAGCAGGTGAATTTTAATTATTTTTGGTTTCCTGTCAGGCATTTGTTACCTGACTCAGTGTACGAACTAAACATTTCGCACTCAGTGGGGAATGATTTCGCGCACGGCGTCATGGGAAGTGACATTTCGCAAATTGTCATCAGTGTGCAAACATCATCTTTTATTGGCAGTTTTGGAAAAAAAATATTAAATTGGAAATTCTTCGAAAACTTAACATTTTCCGAATAGACAACTCACCCTTATTTTCAATGCTAAAAAAGAAAAAAAAAATTAAATTCGAGTTTCCAGTTGAAAAAATGTATTTTCGATAGTTTCCTCAATTAATTTTTAATAATAATAATTTATTTTTGAACACCCTGTATTGATAGTTGTCAAAATATTATAAAAAATCTATTGAAGTAAGTCCTTGTCAACAGGAAATCCAACTCGAATCAAATATCAAAAGATTTTTTATAGGAAAAATTCACTTATTTTGGGGTCTGCAAACGCAATTAAAATATGTCAAAATTGCTTAGAATTAGGTATAAGACATTTTATACGGAATCTATCTAGAATCTTGAGTAAAATCCAAAAATGAAATAATATGTAGGGCCTCCCACCGGAAATCAAATCGATCTAAGGTACCTGACCCAAATAAGGCCATGTACCTAATAAGGCCAGTTCCCTTTATTGCTTAATATTGAATCCCATTTTCAAAAATTACAATATTATTAAAAAAGAAATCTATAATGCAAATCAAAAATTATTGCGAGGGTTCCTAGCAGCTCGTTATATGTCAAAAAATAGCCAACCATATGTCACGTTATAACTTTGAGGCTGGAACTCAATTAGTTTATGCACGTTTATAAAGTGAATAGAGCGAATGTAATATTTACACGGACATTTATGTATTAAAAAAGCTACAGAGTAAGTACAGAATAATCTCTTGGCTGGACTTCTAGTTACAGACTTTTTTTTATCAATGTAACATGTAATGAGGCCATATACGAAAAATGTTCAATTGGCCTCTCATCACAGTGTTTTTTTTAAAGAATATTATTACCTTTTTTTTTGAGGAGGGTTTAGGAAATCTGCTAATCAGACCTTCCTCCACTTGTTGTCTGGCAGTGAAGGGTGTGTCGGGTTGGCACTCTTGGGTGTCGACCGACTAAAACCCTTTCCCCTCTCCCTTTCTCAACATCACTCCGGAACCGCTTTCAGTGATGAGGTGTCTCTTTTGTTGTCATCTATTTATCTATTTATCTATTTATCTATTTATTTTTTTTATTTTTTTTATTTTTTTTTTATCAGACCTCAAATCAGATTATAATAATCTGGCACCGAGGGCTTTATCTATTTATCTATTTATCTATTTATCTATTCACTATAATGTTCTTCATCCTCATTTTTCTTGACCAATATATTCCTGGCCAGCTGCTTGACCGCTTTCCAGTTTTCCTCCCTGTTTACCATTTCTGCCAGAATGTTCTCTGGGGTGATTGTGCCCGTTTGCTCTTCTCATATTACTCGCTGCTCACGCCAGTGCGAGCAGTGGAAGAGGGTGTGTCTGTCTCCCCACAGTAAATACACTCGTTTTTTGCTGTCTCGGAAGCTACGGTGCTCGGTCAGAAACTGTTTCAGGTAAAAGTCCGTGTCCCCAGGCTTTCTCTCCATCCAAGTCTTGACATTTGGAATGAGCCTGTAGGTCCATCTACCTTTATTGCAGTTCTCCCACCTATTTTGCTATTCTTTCATCAGCAATTCTCCTGCTTCGGTCCGTGCAGCCTTTTTCTCTAGCGTGGGCGCCTTTGCTATTGAGGCAGCCTGTTGCGCAAGAAGGTCCATTGGGGGTGTCTCCGCTATTACTTGGATTGCGTCTGTAGACGCGGTACGGTAGGCGCTACAGATCCGCAGCGCAGCCTGTCTTTGGAGCCCCTCTACTAGTTCTCGGGCTTTCTCTTTCGCAAAGTTCTTTCCCAGACCGGAGCTGCGTACAGCGATATGGATCTTGTGACCGAACGCAGAACTCTCCGGGGTCGTGCCCTTCTACGTTGGGCATCAGCCTTGCTAGTGCCGTCATTGCATTTCCCGCTCTGACGACGGTCTTTCTGATGTGTGATGAGAAAGAGAGCTTGCAGTCCAGCCAGACCCCCAGGTACTTGCCGGCCGCCGCTCTCGTCTCACCCCCTAGGATATTGAATGTTCTGTTTGGGACTGTCTTTTTAGATGTGAGTATCATGTCCTCGGTTTTCTCTTTCGCCAACTGTAGGTCGTTGTCTTGCAGCCACCCTACTGTGCTTGCCATTGTAGAAAGAATTTGCTTTATTGTCAGAAAATTTTACAATTTT